CCATTTAAAAAAAGAAAGGCACTGACCCATGTCACTCTACTTTTCTGTATTTCACTATACATAAATTATATTTCAATAAAATGTATTTTAACAACAAAAAAATATATATAAAACTATATTTGGTCAAGACTATTCTGTTTATTATTCATCATACACAAGGATTTAACAAAGGTAACATTTACCATAGGATCAGAATGGAACACTGATGAGGACAGCCCATCAGATACAATGAAACTGTCATTTTCCCAGAAGCAAAAATTAGTTGTAATGACTCCTTCTTTGGGGTAGTATTGCTTTCTTACTGACTCAGGCAACTCTTAGTTTAATCACAGAATTTTGGAAAGTTGTTCTATGAAATTATAGCAATAAGGAAGAAACATCCAACTTTCAACAAAGAATAATCTCTGCACTGTGTGTTCTGAGATGTGAGGAATGAGGACAGGTTTTCTCACCACATTCCTTACATTCATAAGGCTTCTCACCAGTCTGAGTTCTTTTATGTCCAGTGAAGTCTGAGCACCAACCTAAGGATTATCCACATTCTTTGCATTCATAAGGCCTCTATCTACTATGAATTCTTGCATGTTTAGAAAGTTGAGAGGAACGGCTAAAGTTTTGCCCACATACCTTACATCCATAAGGCCTCTCTCCACTGTGAGTTCTTGTATGTCTAGTGAGAGATGAGGACTGAGGAAAGGCTTTCCCACATTCCTCACATGCATAGGGCTTCTCTCCACTGTGAACTCTTAGATGTGTAATGAGACTTGAATTTCGCTTAAAGACTTTCCCACATTCTTTACATTCATAAGGCATTTTTCCAGTGTGAGTTCTTCTATGCACAGGGAGTTCTGAGGGGTATCTAAAGGCTTTCCCACATTCCTCACATTGATAAGGCCTCTCTCCACTGTGACATCTCTTGTGTAACAAGAGATGTGCCTGCTGTCTAAAGAATTTCCCACATTCCATACATTTGTAAGGTTTCTCTCCACTGTGAATTCTTTCATGTGCAGTGAGGCCAGAGGAGTAATTAAAGGATTTCCCACATTCCTCACATTTAAAAGGCTTCTCTCCACTGTGAATTCTTTTGTGTGCATGGAGCGAAGAGCGTTGCGAAAAGTATTTCCCACATTGCTGACATTCATAAGGTCTCTCTCCAGTGTGTATTCTTTTGTGTGTAGTGAGTGATGATAAGTAAGTAAACGTTTTCCCACATTCCTTACATTCATAAGGCCTCAGTCCCTTGTGAGTACGCCTATGTGCACTGAGAGATGAGGAATTCTTAAAGGCTTTCATACATTCTTTACACTGGTAAGGCTTCTCACCACTGTGAGTTCTTCCATGTTGATTGAGGGATGAGGTATCCCTAAAGGCTTTCCCACATTTCTTACATTTGAAAGGTTTCTCTCCAGTGTGTGTTCTTTTATGTGTAGTGAGGGATAAGGCTGCCCTAAAGGTTTTCCCACATTCCTTACATTTGAAAGGTTTCTCTCCAGTGTGTGTTCTTTTATGTGCAGTGAGGGTTGAGCCCCTCCTAAAGGCTTTCCCACATTCCTTACATTCGAAAGGTTTCTCTCCAGTGTGTGTTCTTTTATGTGCAGTGAGGGTTGAGCCCCTCCTAAAGGCTTTCCCACATTCCTTACATTTGAAAGGTTTCTCTCCAGTGTGTGTTCTTTTATGTGTAATGAGGGCTGAGGTATCCCTAAAGGCTTTCCCACATTCCTTACATTCGAAAGGTTTCTCTCCAGTGTGTGTTCTTTTATGTGTAGTGAGGGATGAGGCCACCCTAAAGGCTTTCCCACATCGCTGACATTTAAAAGGCCTCTCTCCACTGTGAATTCTTGTATGTTTAGTGAGGGATGAGCTCTCACAAAAGGCTTTCCCACATTCCTTACATTCATAAGGCCTCTCTCCACTGTGAATTCTTGTATGTGTAGTGAGGGATGAGCTCTCATAAAAGGCTTTCCCACATTCCTTACATTCATAAGGCCTTAGTCCCTTGTGAATACGCATATGTGCCCTGAGGGATGAGGAATCACGATAGGCTTTGCTACATTCCATACATTGGTAAGGCCTCTCTCCGCTGTGAATTCTCATATGTCTAGTGAGGGATGAGACCTCATAAAAAGCTTTCCCACATTCCTTACATTCATGCGGTTTCTCTCCACTGTGAATTCTTTCATGTGTAGTGAGGGCTGAGGAATACCTAAAGGCTTTCCCACATTCCTTACATTCATAAGGTTTATCTCTGATAGGATTCTTAAGTGTTGATACAGGAATGAAGTCATTCCCACATACCTTGCTCTTATGGGGTTTCTGTCCATTAAGAGTTGTCACAGGAGAGCTTAGTGGAGAGGGACTACTGCAGGCTTGGTCACTTTCCTTACACTGACGGGCATCACATGCAGTGTGAGATCTGATGCAGAATTCCTCTAACAGGTGATCTGTGAAGGCTGCTCCGAATTCAGAGAATTCAGAAGGATGGACCTCGGGAGGATTCCGTTGTAGCACCATCTCACGTGGAATCTGGCTGCAAGTTTTCTCACACCGATTGCTTTCATGATGTTCACAGAGGTTCTCTACTCTATGATTTCTGTTAAAGATATGCAACAGACTGTTGGAAATAAATTGGTTCCCACATGGCCATTACCAAACACACTGGATATTCATGATTTTTCCCAACTTGTCTCATGCTTCATATATTGAATAATCTAACAGAATTACAACCATTATTGTCACTGTTTTGCTAATGTTTGATGTCCTGTACAAGTGAAATACGTTACAAAAAGTTGAAGTGATTATCCTATTTATGACAAAATTTCATTAAAAAAATCTCTAAAAACATAATTTTACAGATAGGTAATATATATGTGTATATATATAGATATATATAATCTGTTTATAAATCAGGGCTTTCAACTAGTTTGTACAAGGTCAATAACTAATGATATAAAGGAGAGAACCATACAGGTTATTCAGCAACCAAATGGGTTACTGCTCAGGCTCTGAGCCAAATAGGAAACAAATATGTAGTGCTCCCCTGACAGATGGGGGCTGACCATGCCCCTTAGAACATGTGCTGCTCCCCACAGTCCTGCTTACAATCCAATCTCCCCCAGGGAACCCAATAGATTCATTTATCTGATGCACAAGACTGGATTACTGGCCCAACTTGGAAGAGCCCCACATCCTAAGTGGCCAGGTTGGCTGCTGTATAGAGCAGGACATTGATCATTGATGGAAACAGACCATAAGATGACAAACCACAGATGTGGTTGCTCTAAACACATATGCTTCCAATTTTGATGTTGTCAATTATGAAATAGCTTCATGATTATGTTTATGAAATGGCTTCAAACCCAGGTATTTATCCATAAATCTACATGTTGTTGTTGTGTTGTTATGTGCCATCAAGTCAGACCCAACTCAGTGACCCCTCCCTTGGGTTTCTGAGGCACTATCACTATGGAAGTAGATTGCCCAACCTTCCTTCCGAGGAGTAGCTGGTGGTTTTGAACTGCCAGTCTTCCGGTTAGCAGTCAAGTACCTTAGGGACTATGCTACCAGAGCTCCTGTATAAATCTACATAAGAGCACTTTAATGTGATGACACAGAGGACTTTCTCCAGAGGCACTGCTGTCTTCTGTTTGAATGATACTCACCTGCAATGTCTCTCCTGGTTTTTACACCCATCTTTATTGCCACACATTTTGGATGTGTCTTCTAACATGGGCGACCAGGTGTCATTCTTCATGAATTGCACCATTATATGTTCACTGGATAACTTTTCTCCATCATTAAGGTTTTGAGAGACTGACCCAATAATACAAATTGAAGTTCAGAACATGAAACAAAAAGGAAAGCAATTACTATGGAAAATAAGGTGGTTGTGAACAAACACTTAGCCACATTTCACTATTTTACCACAGTGACAATGGTTCAAAGGACATTTACCATGAAAAACTTCCATGTGGATCGACAGTGATGGTGACAAAGAGGTGTAATTAAAAGAGGTAAGTTGAAAGATACTGAAGATAGTACAAATGGAACATAAATTAGGAAAAGGGCTCCAGGACCACCGATGTGAGACAATTGCTAATGTGAGAAAAGTGAGCTCAGGTGCATCTGGGAAGTTGTACCCTCAACCCGACAGAGGGATTTTTCTAGCTGCCTGATTCAAATGCTATTCTTACCTATCGAGGCCAGGTTTCTGAAGGTTTCCATCATCACATTTCTGTAGAATTTCCTTTGAGACAGACCCAGCAAAGCCCACTCTTCCTGGGTGAACACCACGGCCACATCCTCAACAAGCACCAAATCCTAAAATAACAAACATTCTGGGCCATCAAGAATACTATGGACTCCAATGAGTACATGAGGGAATGGTGAAGTTGGAAGTCCTAGGAAACTGAGAATTGATAAGCACTGGACACTGGACACAAGGTTCTGTGTTCTATCAAGGTCTATTTGATTGTACCATCATCAGCCTCATCCCCAATTTAACTACAGATAATCTTCAAAAACAACAGAGACCAATGAATTGCACACATCCATTCTTCACTGAAGAACCACAGTCGCACAGAATACAACTTGTCACCCCACAATTCTTATCTAGTCCTACCCACTAATACTCAGGAAAACCCGGTTTTCCTAGAACTCACCATTTCTTGGCTGGACCTTCAGGAGATAAAAGGGGATGTTGTCTGAAGGTGCTTCAGGAAGAGGGAATGGAGTAGAAGCAGAGCACTGGAGAGTTTGGAGGCAGATGAATGATATTTGGTCTGCACACCAGTCAAAGTAGGTGAAATTCTGCTTTGGGATTTACAGATGTGCAAGATGGTCGCCCTGGGTCTCCGGCTCCCTGGATGGGACCAGTTCTCCCTGGCCCACACTGGAGATCTGAAATGGAAGAAGGATGAGAAGGAGACAGTGGTGAGTCAGCAGGAGTGACAGGTATCTGGCTTCCTCCAAGGCTCAGGGTCATGTTCCACCCTGAGGGCATCTGCACTGAAGGGGAACAGGCTCCAATCTCTACAGCCCACACCTGCATTCTTCATGCAGCTCTCCCCAGGCTGCCTCCTTTTACAACAAGACATAAGATGGAGGAATTCAGTTATCTCAGAGCAACAGAAGCAACCAGGCTGCTCAAGAACTTGACCCTGATGTCCTCCATGGAGTTAGGAGTGCAATGTTGAAGTTGCTGGTTCACCTATGGAAGTTTGCCCTTTACAGATCAAAACACTCACTGTTCTTTGACATTAACAAGGGTGAATTTTCAGGAAGAACCTATCTTTCAAGTTTTCTAAATGAACCCATCATGATTTATTCATTTTCAAACCCTTCTATTGCACTTAATTTTTTTTTTCAATTCCATTTATACCACTGTAATAACGCATCAGTATTATTCCCAGTGTATGTGCAATTAGCGTCTTTATTTCTGTTGAGTTTCCTTTTTCTTTTTCCTTCATTCTCAAACCAGACACCTCCAGTCCTTATCCTTTGAGAAATACTGAAGGAGGACTCTTGAACACTTTGTTTTTCAAACTTTTAATAAATCACTCAACTAATAATTCAGACACTCATCACATTTGCTCTAAAGCACGTCTGTTGCTTCTGTTCCCATTGTTTTCCACTCTGTTTCCCTTCCAAGCTAATTCTTATTCTTTGCTTTCTTATTCTCAGGATGAATGTGGTCTCTCTCTCTCTCTCTAATCACACACATACATACACACACACACACACACACACACAGAGAAAGTCAGGCCACGGTTGCAGAAAGAGTGCTATGGAAAATTCTATACTCTCATAACGTAAAGAATATATGAAGTGATGAGTTCCTTTGATTTTTTTTTACTTCATTTTTTGACTGCTCATTTTGGCCTAGTGCCGCTCTGACAAGAATATACCACAAATGGAATGCCTTTAACAAACGGGAGTTTGTTCTCTTACAGTTTGCAGGCTTTGAGGCTGAGTTCACAGTGCTAGGCTCTAGGACCTGGGTGAAAGAACTCAACCGTGGGCTTCAGCTCTGATGCCTGTTCCTGGCCCACTGAAGCTAGAGGCTTTTCTTCACTCAGACAGCTGCTGGCTGCTAAGGCTGACAAGCCCAAGGTTGACAATTAACAAGGCACAGTCCTGATATTACCAAACCACATGGCAGGCCATTAATTCAAGTCCATTGAGATTCTGAAGGTCAGCAGGGTATGGCAGGCTGCTGAAAAATGATCTGGCTATATGCAGGGTTCAAGCATTCCATAAGCTAGAGACCATTCCTAAGTTGCTGCTTATATACGGGAAGCAGACCACATCCCCAAAGCAGCTACTCAGTTGCTTGTGGTAGATCCCACCATGGAGTTGATTGCCAGTCTCATCATGGGGAATA